TAATCTCTTTGTACAGCTGAATTGCAGCGCAGCTCGGGGAGCTGGAAATGATTACTCAGTGCGTCTCCGCTCAGCCCTGGCCTCTCCATCGCGGGGAGCATCGCTGTGTTAAGAGTTGTCCAAATCCCTCCAACCCCCAGCTCCAGCACGGCAGCCCAGCCCCACGCTCGGCGTCACCCGTGCAGGACAGCACAGAAGAAATGTCACCCCAAGGCTCGGGTGGCTTTGCTTCTCCATCCTGGGGTGTCCACAGCAGGACAGAGGCTTGAGGCTGGCTGGGGGGGCACTGGGCTGTGGCCCCCACCGTGGCTTCCCCAGCAATGGGTCCCTGGTTTTCTGATACGGCCTTTGCAAGGAGCTTAGTGGATCAGGAAGCTTTCTTATTTTTTTTTGGTATTTTAATTTTTTTTTTAATTTTAGCTCCACTCTAAGGGAGCCTCTAAAATAGCAAGTTCTAAAGAAAAAGCTTTCCACAGGGGTCCAAGGCTGGAAAAAAGAGTGAAAGAGTTGAATTGTTCCATTCTCCTGATGTCATCCTGCTTGTTCTGCAGCAAAACAGGAGGGGGGATGCTGCTGCTTTTCAAGAGGCGCCTGGCACCCTGCATGGCTGTCGCAAAGGGGGGCACCAGGCAGTGCTGGGACACAGACTCCAAAAAGCTGAAAGAGACGGTTCAGACCATTCTGCACATCCCCATGGTGGGACATGGCTACTGCAGAGGAAGGTCAAGTCCCTGGTTTAGATGGACATTCCCGTTACTCATTGTGCCTGCCTTGATTTACCTGAACAAGCTCCAGAGCATCCTTGCAAGAAAGGACCACAGAGGAGGAGAACTGTGGCCCCGGCAGTTGCCAGGAGCAGGCAAACGGGTGAGGGCAGGAGCAGGCAGCAGAGCCGTGGTGCAGAGCTTGCCTTGCTGGCAGCGTGCTGGCCCCGGGGACCCTGGGCAATGTGATCACAGCAGCTTGTGCAGAGAAAAAAGGATCATGAGATCAAACCGGCTTTCACTTCTCATCTGGGATTGCTTCTAAGCCATCACCTGAGGTCCCCGAACTGAGCTATCACCCCAAATACAAACAGGTTCAGATTTGGGGAGCGCAGAGACAGAGCATTAACTCGAAGTGGAAAAGGGAAAAATCCCAGAAACTTTTCTGGGACCAGCAATGTCTTCCTCCACCCCTGCTGACCTCAACCACCAGTGCATGGCAAGGCACGAAGAGTAACAGAAGAGCAAGATGTTCAACCACGCGTGCACAACACCAGTGTCAGCAACAAGAGGCACCGGTGGCAGGGGATGCTGTGGCACGAGGACACGGCAGGATCAGCCACGATGGACGCAACACAGCTCTTGCCGAGGATTCACCTGTCCTGTATCCAGCTCAGGAAGAGCCCTCAGGGCCCCTCCTTAGCGAAGGGCCGGCAGATGTCTCTGGATGAAGTATTGCTGCTCCCACAATGGTTCCCCTTTCATCTCTGGGGCAGCACCACTCACCCGTAGTGCAAAGGAGACCAGCGGGACTGTCCCCCTGCCCAGGGCCATGGGGGGCACCCCAGGCAAAGCCACTGCTCCCCAACCAGCCAGGGAGGAAGAAGAGGGTCAGAAGCAGGAGGTGATGGGTGCTGAGCAAGCCAGCACCCCACCGGCTGAAACACCAGCAAGGGTCAGTGCCTCGGGGCCGGAGTGAACCCTGCCCACGGCGGGAGCTCGGGAGAGGTTATCACCACCCACGGGCGGTCATATTCAGGTATGGTAAGATTTGGTTAGTCCTATGCAGTGAAAATAGACTCTTGCGGCATCCGAGGCTGCAGGTTCAGACACAGCACTTCCCTTCACCTTTTTTTTAATGTTTATTTTTAATTGTTTGTGCCTCTTTCTGCCCTTTGCGTGTTCTCCCCTTGCCTGCACCCACAGCACAGCCCTGCTCAGATTTCTCTGGGTGACTCCAACGATAGCAATCCACATCGCCCCGTCATCCCACCACATTTCCTTGTCCCAGCTGGGGAGCACCAGCCACCCTGGGGACACAAAGTCCAGCTTTGCCCAGGATGCTGACACAGTGGTACATCACCCCCGTGCTGTGCATCCATGTCCCATGTCCCTGTCACCAACGGCCCAACCCAACGTCAAACCCGCAGAAGAGCAGCCAATGCTCTCCACGGCAGGCAGGAGAGTGTGAGGACTCGGAGAGGGAGAACAGGGATGGGGAGGAATATTTTTTGCTCTTCTGCCCCATGAAGACACCTTCTGCCTTCCTCCCACCTTGAGAACCACGGCTCCGGAGCAGGCTCAGCCCCACCACCAGCCACGCCGCCCTAACGAAGTTCAGTGCTATAATTACTCCTTTCCTTTGTGGTTTGCTCTGAACTGCCAAGCTCTGGGCGATTGCCCTGCTCCTCCGACCGGCCTCTTCCTGCACAACACGCTCTCCTGCATACCTTCGGCAGCGGGACGAGGGGTTAAGGGCAAGGTGGCTGAGCTCCGGCAGCTGGGGGAAGGCAAGTCCCAGCACAGGGCTGAGGGCAGCTGGAGGCAGCTGCCTGCGTCCCCAGCTCAGCTGTTTGTGCTGGAGAGCCGCCAAGCAATGAGATCGAGGGGCGTCCAGCGCCACAGGAGCATCTCTGGGGCGCCCCAAACCCTGGGAGCAGCGAGAGGCAGCAGGATGTCACACCGCATGTGGCCTCTGCTGCAGGCATCAGGGACCCAACGTTCTCACTTGGGGGGTTGTGGTGGGGCCAGACAAGCTGATGGGGAGCATCGCCAACGTGCCTGCACCCATTCCCTTAAGTTCCCCATGCAGCCTTCCCCAAACTCCCCCATGTGCTTCCTTCAGCAACAAGGAGAGATGCCATCCACCCACCCAGCATCCCAGGGGGGTGGTGAAGGACCACGGGGAGGACTGCCCTGAAATGGGGTCCTGCACGAGAGCAGCCCAGGACAACCCTGCGTCATGGCGATGGAGGAGGATGGAGACGACCAGGAAGGGGACACAGGCTCTGGCAGCAACTCTGGGCTGCACATCCCTGCTGACACCAGGGGAGAAGGAGCCAGAGCCCTCCCTAATCCTTCTACTTTGTCTCCTGGCTCTTCTTGGAGGCGTTTAGACTGAAAGCCCCTTTTGTAGCAGTACCAAGGGCTGGCTCACTCTGCAAGGCAGACCCCAGACAGCTGGGCTCTGGGGTAAATCTCATCCCCAGCAGCTGTCCTGGGCTTCTGGAGCCCTTTTGGATGCAAAGAGCCTTTCCTCTCCCCTCCTCCCCAGGCAGCTGGGGGATTTGGCAGCTCAGATGGTCTTCTGCTCTTAAAGTGCCCAACCGTCCATGGTTCAGAGCTTGAGAATAAGCCCAGAGCAGCCTAAACCCAGCAGGATGAGACTGGGCACCCATCCACGGGAGAAGATGGGCCACCTGGGCACCACGCACACAGTGCCTGGGGACAGAGCCTGTGAGAGGTGCCCAGGCTGAACCCCATCACTGAGCTGGGTCTAAGAGCTCAGCCATGCCCAGCTGGAGTTGGACCAACCTTCTCTCTGCTGGAGGTTTGTCCACTCTTTAAAACCCAGACCAGAAAAGCCACACCTAAGCCACACACAACTCAAGCCTCATGGGTTTGATACCAGCCCCACCACTGACTCCTGATGTGATTTCAGACCACACACAAATGCCAGAACCCGGCCTCCCCACGGACCCCATTACTGCTCTGTGACCGCAGGGCTGAGCCCAGGGAGAGGCGATGGAGCAGGAGCAGGGGACCCCCATGGTGGGGCGAGACAAGGGCGCGTGGTCCAGCTCCAGGGCCAGGCACGGACCTCCCAGGTCCTGGCTTGGCCACCGGACGCCAACCCACAACCCCTGGGGAGAGGCACAGGGTGGGGTGGGGAGGTGGTGGCCTCCGACCCACCGCTGCACCCCTCGCAGGAAAGAGTTCGTGGGTGACGGGGAATGGAAAAATAATTAACAGGGCAGAAGAGAAAAAAAAAAATCTCTAAAAACGTTAGGGAGAACAAATGACGGCTTGCGGGGGAGGGAAGCTGGCTTTAATATGGGATTAATGGAAAACAAGATACAGCTAATATAAGCCAGGGCTCCAGTTTAATAGTGGCTCTGGTCCATGATGTTATTAGACTTTGGCTCCAAGGCCAAAAAAACCCTGACTCCTGCTAATGAAGAGGCGGTTTCTGCCCCGCCCCACAACCATGAGCAACAACACTGAACAACAAGCCACCATCACAACCACGCTCCCACAATTCCGCCTCTCCAGCACCTCGGGGGCTTTTCTAGATGCTGCTCAGGCCGCTGGGTGCACACGTGGGGCCCGAGCTGGCACAACTGTCATTTTCTGCTTTTGGCATTTTCTTTTTTATTCCCTTATAGACTCGACAGCATTTTTTTATTCAAACTGACAGTTCTTTCAACCAGGATAAACCCAAGGGTAACAGCCATG